TTCTTTTTCAACCACACATTTCCCATCATATCACTATTCAAAAATCATATTCTCATTTTCAACCATACATTTTTCAATAAAATAATATTTTCCATCACATCAATACTTTTTTCTTCTTTTTCAACCACACATTTCCCATCATATCACTATTCAAAAATCAATTATTCCCCCAAAAATCTCTACCAAACACACTCTTAGTATAACAATGTAAACCTTATTTTGAGACTTCAATGTGATTTTTCCATTCTAAACTTTATAATTCATGTTTAGTTGAATGTTTGCTAATTAATTAATGTTTTCAAGTAGTTTATCAATATTTGAATAAATTATAACTTGTTTTATTTTTGAAAGATCGAAAATAGGTTTTAATACATTTTAGCAGATGTCGTGAAGTTTGATAGCAGAAAAAATACATCTCTATACTTTATGTGACTTTTTGTTGAGCGTTCATTGTTTAATACGTTTTTATATATTCACTTCTTTCATAGAAATATATGAAGATCATATGTAAGAAAATGTTTAACTCTACTTGATAGGAAACATAAACACGTTAGGAACGTTGATAATCAATTAAAACATGCATCTATCAATTGTGAGAAACTGTGAACTAGAGTGAAAAAACATAGACGGGGTCGAATTCTAGTGCACTCACAAAACCGAATTTTCTTCAAATTATCGAAATTCATTCGATAGGTTTTCTTTAAGTAATTTTTAGTTAAAAAAATTTAAATAAAAATTTGGCCAGGTCGGTTAAAGTTAAGAGTAATTGATTTCGAGACTAAGCACGTAATCCTCATATGACGATACTTGACTTTGACATTATATACTCACAATTCACAACAATTTTTGTCCAATTTATCCATTATATGGCTTTATATGAAAAGGGTAGGACTGCCATGTAAATTTTCCAAAACATTAATATACACGGAACAAAATAAAAATAAAAAAAACGAAGATTTGTGCACAATCTTTCTCTCATTTCTTTCACGCTCAACTTCGTATAAAACAAATCCGGTTTTAACATCAAATAAATAAAGGAGACTTGACCGGCTTTCTAATCACTACCCTATTGATGTGAAATTGAATATTAACATTAAATTGACCATAAAAGCAATAAAAATGTTGGTACTACAAATTTACAATCACTCGTTAAAGACATTTTACTCTTCTAGCGATGAAAGTTTTCGAGCAATTATTTTCTAGAATAGAAAGAATTCCATTGCAAAGAGACTGACATCGTTGTTATAGAGGAATTGACGAACATAACTTCTGATTTAGAAATTGAACTTATCTGTTCCAAGTAGATTTTGAAAGAAATGTATGTAGAATTTAGGAAGAATTATTTTGGAAATCGACGATCAAATAAAAAGATGACAAGACTTATATTTATTCAAAACTCACAACAAATTGTAAATGTCTCAATTTAGAGAAAAGGTAGGAGGTTTCTTGAAAAGAAGTAAATTGAAAGGATACAACCATTAACAAAAAGACACAATTCTTAAATTAAAATATCAAATTGAAATTTCTTTATTCTATCCCTTTCAACGATCAATTCAATTTCTTCATTCTCATTTAACCTTTTCAAATACCTGTTTGTCGAGTTGCAAATTTTTTATTTGAACTTCACATGCCATGAATATTTTATCGATGATCTGAAGAGGGCTTATCTGAATTACCCAATCTATGCAATCATTTAAAAATAAAGCTCAATAGTTATCGTCTATGTCTTTCATTATTGGCATACTATTGTGCCTTACAGTATACAGATAGTGATCGAATCGACATCCGATATCATGGTAGACAAACAATTATGTCTGAGATGCATCTATTGACTTGACAATTTATAAATCATCAAAGAATCTGAAAGTAACAAGACAAATTGTTATTCAATTCTCTTCCTCAATTTTTTAATGAAGTGAAAGAGAAAGTGGACTTTTATTATCTCTTGGGTCACTTAGTTAAATTCGCATGATTATGTCGTGTTCACAATTATGCCAATTTTGTCATCGTGTTTATATTCGAAAGTCGCAACAAAGAAACGGGTCTACTTGCAATTGATGATGACTTGTCCTCGATGGGCAAATTATTTGTATTGTTTTACTAATTGCAATTGATGACGACTTGTCCTCGATGGCCAAATAAAATATTTTAGTAAATCAAATCCTAATTTATTGGGCTGAAATTAATATTTTAATAAAATATTTACATAAAATCAGACATTTTCTTTCACAGTTTAAAAATCAAGTTTTCACGTTTTCTTTTTTCATTTATCAGGTTTTTTATATTAAAAAAAATTTTTTTTTTATCATTTTAATTAAATAACCATTCCTTTAAAACCCTAATTTTTCAATTCATCCCCCCACCCTCCCACCCCACATACCATAGTTTCTCTCTCTCTCCATCTCCGTCCCCGTCCCCGTCCCCTTCCCTGCCGGAGCTTCTCATCTCTACCAATTCACAACAGCGTTCGACACTTCTGTGAATGCTGCTGTGAATCACAACAGTGTCAACTGCTGTTTATTCACAGCGTCGACACTTCTCTGCTGCTGTGGTTGTGGGGGGTTGGGGGTTTTTTTTGTTGGGTACAATAGCTATGTTGTTGGTGGTGATAGGGTGGGCGTGGATCTGGTGGCTGCTACGGGGTGGAGGTGGTGTCAATGGTGCTGTGTGGATTTGCTGTGGGTGTGGCTGTTGGAAGCTATGTGGTGGTGCGGGCAACAATGTGACAGCTGTTTTTTGTTATTATTATCTTCAGCAATGTGACGGTTGTTTTTTGTTATTATTAGACATTTCTTTGTACAATTTTTGATGAAGAATCATGCTGCTCTGTCAGACCTGTAAAAGGCCGACAGAGCAAATTGTGAGATGGAAGTGGGTATTTAACATTTGGGGGTGGGGGTGGGGGTGGGGTGTTTAATGAGGTGGGTCACGAGGACCCACCTCATGTGAGTGCTCAACTATGCCAGGCCTTTTACAGGCCTGGCATAAGATCAGGCCTGGCATAAGTGCTTAATTCTATGATGAATTATTGCACAAAAAATCAGAAATTATTTTCTAATTATGTTCCTGCCGTCCGTCCATAATTCTGCCCGCCTGTTCCTGCCTCTTCTCTGCGCGATTTCGTCTCCACCTTTTTTAATCCTCCTCTGTGTATATGTAATCTGCCAATGGTTTTGTTTCCTTAGGAGACCCAAAAAAGAAGAAATCCAATCCTCTTTTAACTCATTCAGCCGCCGCCATTTCTAACCAATCAAACAGAGGTTCAATGCCAATTGAATTTGATTCCCATTGCAATTCCAAGTTGAAGCCCATTATGCTATATTTTTCTTTTAGTCCTCAATCTTTCGAAATAATAAAATTCAGTCCTTGAATCCCCTTATTTGTGCGACCCATGTCTTCTCTAATTTAATTCGAGTCCTTTAATTCTCACAAAGTGTGGAATTTGATTCCAAATTTCCGTCCAATGGTCGATTTACCCTTCTTCCCTTTCCAATTGCTTCGAACATATTCATAACTAAAGACCAACGGAAATTAACCAGAATTAAGTAAAGTTCAATATTTTGACGACATAAAAGTTGAGTAGAATGGCTTGGATAAATGCACAAAACAAAACGCACTTATCGATAACAAATGACACAAGAAGCTAAAAACGCATCTTAGAGAAATAGGATCCTAAAACCTACCTACACGAAATAAACACCTTAAAATATATCTAAAGAAATCTTTGATGGATTATAGTCTATCAATAAAACGAACTTCACTTTATAAAATCCAATCCTCGAGCCATTTCATTGACAATAATTTTTACAATTTCTATTGTAAGTTTCGCATATTAAGTTTCATATCTGATGGAGTCGAAAAGCATGAAAACGATGAATACAAATATAATCTCGTTGATTCGCGCACAACATCGTGGCGATCGATATTAGGAAAAGAAAGCCCTAAAACTTAATTAAAAACACAAATATCCCTAATTAATTAAAGAACACGATAAATAAATAAAATAAAGTAAGGGACGTGGAATATTAGGAATTTAGGTCCATCACTTCTGAAGTAAGAATGAGAGAATTTCCCACCATCTGGATATAGAGATAAAGTGGAAAGAAGTGTTAAAGGAAGAAATTAGTTTAATTGTAAATAAATTATGTTCGAGATATATTGAAACGATATATGTTTGATCAAATTTAACGGTGTAAGCTTTTAGTTAAAGTAATTCGATTTGATATCGAACACGTAAGGGTATTAGGTTCAAGACTGGTCACTGCTGATTTATATAAAGTTGTCAACGTTAGACGATAAGGATTGTTCTATAATAATTTTTTCTTAAGTTTGCAAACACTTAGAATAACCTCTGATTATTTGGGCTCTAAAATTAATCCCAAATGCCACCTTATCCACGCGAGATGCCATTTGCTAAATTTATGCAACAATTTGAGCACCCAAAAAAAAAATAAAAAATTGTGCATGAATAGAGAGGTGGAAGATGCAACTTTATTCAATCATTTAGATGTTTAGCTCTTATTTGATTCTCATTTTCGAGGTAAAACGTATTATGAAATGATAATTTTTTAAAGAATGTATTATTAGAAAGTAAGATTTTTTTAAAAAAAAATACGTGTACAATTATTTTACGAAAGAACGTGAAAATAAATTTTGAAACAATACGAATCGAGCTGCAGCGCCGGGAGGATACGGACACACACATCGGGGGGAGGGTAGCATTTTTTATTTCATGCGGGTCCCATATCGGTCTCACACTCATGTGAGGTTAGGTCAACCAGGTGAGCAAATCAATTCGGGCAAACTAGCTTAATTCGAAACGATACTGGGGCTGAAACAGGGGTCAGTGTTCTCAAGACAGTTGCTCATTTGCATTGCTTTATGTATTGAGATATTTTACTCAGTTTTATCAATTTTTCGGTTTTTACGGCCTTAACGAAGCTTCAAGCCCTCTTTCCCCTTATCCAGCCAAACGAACTGGCCTGTTGGCTGCACCAACAATGTTCATTATCTCGCACAATTTCAAAGCTGCTTCACTTCATCTCTCTTTCTCAAATTTCATCCCAAAACTTTCACTTCTAAATTCCACTCAGTCCCTTAATTTTTCAAAGCCTCTTCAGATAAAATGTGCCAAGAGGACCAAAAGGACAGGAAAGTTGAGGTACCCATCTGAGAAAAAGAAGCTAAAACAGCAACAGAACAACGAAATTGACGTGAAAAACAAATTTGAAGGGGTTTGGAGGCTCTTTAAGCTTAGAATCTCAGCCCATGAAGACCCTGGAAAAGACTTTTGGGGTGTTTCTGAGCCTCTGCTTCGAGAAATTTCCAAAGTTCTTGAATTCCCGGTATATAAAAATTTGAACTCTGTACATCCTTGTTGAAATTTGAAGAAATTAAGAACTCTTTGGTTTTTATATGTTATGGTGATTGAAACAATATTGGTAATTTTCTATATCATCACTGTGAGTCATGTATGAGAAAAGTTCCAATTTTTATGAATTTCATTAACTTATAGGAGATGTGAGTTGTATTTTCTATCCTTTTTCTTGAAATGTTCAAATGAGAATTGCACTCTGAATGTCCTCATTAATTTTCTCCTGTTGACGAATTGATTTTTGCTTTCTCCACTAATGTGCAGGTTGCTTCAATGTTGCCACCAGAGGCATTCAAGGTAGTCAGAAAATCGTTTGATGCAAGGAAGGTAGGTAAGATGTTTTAGAAAATTATTCTTTTACTTTGTTTTTTGTTATTGGCTTGTCTTAGTGGTGGTAGTTCTGTTGCCGTGCGAAAATGTTGAAAATTCTTTGTTGTATACATGCATTAATGATAATTATCGATGTTCGAATGTTAGAACTCGGAAACAGAAAGTTTATATGACATCACTTTCTTCCCTGGACTAAAGTTTTGTACTTCCATGATTAATAATTTTAGGGGTATGTTTTACTGAGAGATGTGGATACTTTTATTTATAAAAGTGATGTGATCCTTAACAGAACTGAATATAAGAGGGTGAGTAGACCAAAATTAACATGATTTATTGTTGTAAAATATTTAATTTCGAGTATTTCAGTAGATGCAACATTCGATCAAATGGAATGGGGAGAAAAGAATTCGTACTGACTCCTAGTTTATTGGGCAATCGGTCTGGTTTCTTCTTGTTGTTGTAGTATGTTTTTGTTTCTATTATGAGTGTTCTTTTTGTGCATTTCAGTCAAATATTCACATATGAACTGATGTTTGCTTACCAAATTCCAGTTGCAGAAAGAACCAAAATTTGTGTATACAGTGGATATGGATGTTGATAAACTCCTAAACTTAGAGCCTCGTACTTGGGAGTTTATTTCAGAATTGGAACAAAAAGTTGGAGTCATAGAGAGTATGCCTCATGGAAGATTTTCTAGTGATTTGATTAGTATAATCCGCAATTGCACAAAGCGAAATGAGACTGCAGCTTCTACTGAGGTTTTTGGCAGAAATGATTTCAGTGAATCCTACAAATTTCCTAATAACAGAAAGCCAAAAGTGGCAGTTGTTGGAAGTGGGCCCTCAGGCTTGTTTGCTTCTCTAGTGCTTGCTGAATTTGGCGGAGATGTTACATTAATAGAAAGAGGGCAGGCAGTTGAACAAAGGGGGCGTGACATTGGAGCATTGGTAGTTCGGCGTATGTTACAGTTGGAAAGCAATTTCTGCTTTGGAGAGGTCATATCTTGATCCACTTAATAAATACAAGGTTCTTCTAGTATCCTGAATTTTTTTCTGCAGAAATGCGTATTTTTGCATATCGTGCAATCCATGTGAGATTCTGCAAGTTGAAAACCATTAGGATTAAACTATATATGATTTTACTAAATGTAAAGAGTAAGAAGAAATGACATGTCAAGGTCAATTGGCTTTTGTGAAATTCTAATTCCCATATGAGCTGAAGCGCATTGGCATATGTTATATCACAATTATCACGCACTCTTGCTTTTTGTTTTTTCGATATTCACTGCTGAGGGGTAAAATTTGTTTTGTTTTAATACTTACTTTCGTTCTATTATGTAATTTAGTTGTCAACATTTATATATTGAACACTTAAGGGTGACAGGGTGGTGCAGGTACTTGGAGTGATGGGAAACTTGTGACTAGAATTGGAAAAAATAACAGTAGTGTGATGGCTGTAAGTGTCGCTCTTATTATAATGTCTAATACTTTCCTTATAGATTACTGCTGGCTCTTTTGCCTTGTGTCAATACAATGGATTCTCTTTAATGGCCTTTGAGTTTATTCATTCCAACTTCAGGTTTTGGAGACACTGGTTCACTTTGGAGCTCCAAGCAGTATATTAGTTGATGGGAAACCTCATCTGGGGACTGACAGATTGATTCCACTACTCCGCAACTTTCGGCGACATTTGCAAGAATTGGGCGTGAGTTTCGTCTATAAATATAGTAACTAGGAAATTATTATGTAGATTAACAAGCCTTTTAGTTATCTATACTTGCTTGCTCCTTCTATTTAGTTTCCATGTTTAAATCTGGTTAGGTCACCATCAGATTTGGGACAAGGGTAGATGATCTGATAGTAGAAGGCGAGCGTGTTGTGGGAGTCAAGGTTTCTGATTCAGGTTGTAGCTCAGAGTCTAGCAGCCAGAAGTTGGGATATGATGCCGTCTTTCTTGCAGTTGGACATTCTGCACGTGACACATATCAAATGCTTCTTTCTCATAACGTGGACGTGGTTCAAAAAGATTTTTCCGTGAGTTCCTATTTATCACTAATCCATTATGTGTATATGCGATAATCATGCGTTAGGTATATAACTCAGTAAAAATGACACTACTATAACTTATTAAAAATAAAATAGAATTGTCTTCACCTATTTCCACTTATTCGCTCTCTTCTCTATTTATTCCACCATCACCAACAATACCGTTCAACCTCGAACGCTACAACCTCCCAAATCAACCCGCCATGCAAACCAAGTCGCAATCACCTCTGAGTTTGGTGTTGGGTTAGTATTTGTAGTTGTAGCAATATTGGCCTTCCAGTACCTATAATGGGACACTTTCTCTGAGTGCAAAGGTAATCGACATGAGTGTCATTTTTTACAAGTTTTGAAGATGGCAAAATGCACTCCTTGGTGTCTCAATGTAGATTTATAAGAGTCATCGAACGCTGGCACTCCAAAATAATTATTTACAGTTGAATATTGAAGAATGACGAATCTATTGTATTAGTAGGATTCTGAATTTAAATATGTATAAAATATTATTTCTGGAATTCATGTTTACACTTAAAAGTAAAACATTCCTTCTAGTATGAACACGAGTCTTAGATTTGCTAATCGGAAACATTTTTGAGAAATTTGAATGGTTAATTTTGTAATTCCATTGAAAGGCATTGCTTTTCGTAAAGTCTATATATTACTGTGGTGGATTCCATTACGTGGAGAGCTTTCTAGCCTATAGACGTTGCTAGATCTCTTGGTGATAATTGTATCACTTTGGGTGTTTCTAATTGAGTGGTTGAGTATTTTCTTTCTTTCTATTAATTTGTTTCCATTTATAATATCTTTGTTTGTGTACCCTTATTATTGAACCATATATACTCGAAATCTAAACCTTGTATTACAAAATATTAAAATATTCGGTTACTAAGTTCCTAAGAATTCAAGAAAATTTAGCTTTTGTTTGGTCCCATTATTTTCAAAATACATTTTTCTTCCTTCTTATTTTCAACCGCATATTTATCAAAAAAAATAATATTACACGCAAACCCAAAACATTTTCTTATTTTTTAATCACACATTCTCCTTCAAAATGCATTTTGGGCACAAAATGGGGCTCAAACAAGTACTTATTAGAACAACAACAACAAATTATTACTTGAATAATAAAAAATTCAAAACGAAAAGTTGAATTGATTTTGAATTAATTTAATATGTTAAAAACTAGTTTTAATTATATCTCAATATTTTAAAAGATAATTTGAATTACGTTTTGCTGGATTAGTTTATTAAATAATTCACTTATTAAAAATAAAAAAACTATTTAAAATTAAAAATGATAAATTCTCAGTTTAAAAATTGTGAAATTGGTTTCTAGAAAGGTACCTATTTAAAAAAATAAAAATAAAAAATACTTTCAACAATGCTCAATGTACATTAAAATTGTGGAGATGGGAGGAAAATGTTCAATGCTTGCCTGTCATTATTCTCTCTTCTTCTGAGAAATATGTTATTAGTTTCTTTTGGCATTATAAATCTATTTGGCATTTAATCAGAAAGACAATTGGATTCTGAGATCAATTTTTAAATTGGGTTAGATAATAGATATGTCGACTATCTTGCTGATTTTCTAATAACTTGTCAATTACAGGTTGGTCTAAGGGTAGAGCATCCACAAGAATTAATAAACAGCATACAGGTTTGCCTATTCAACAAGTTTTGTCCTAATTGAGTGTGCTGAACTGATTGCCTTGCTCTTTTCATTATTCACCGTGGCGAGTCATTTTCATTCATTGTTGAACTTTTATGCTAGATTATTGAGAGGAAAACATGAATGCCCATTTATATTTAAACAGACCAAAAAGTCCCTGATTCAACAACCTATAATATGAGGCATAATATTGCAATCAGGAAGAAATTTATCTAGAGGGATATAGTTTCTTCATTTCGAACTCAGAGTCCAATATAAGGACAAGGATTTCAACATTCAGATCTTTAGAAAATGATGGTATAGTTTTCTTCAGCTCATGGTTGCTTACTGCAAATAAGGTGATAGATGATAGATGGATTCAGTCGATTTTCTGAATGGAGAAATCCAAACAGGACAAGAAGCACCTTGGAGATTGAAATCCCAGAATGCAAAACATCTTTTAATCACTCCCTTTATGCTCCCCACCCAACCAAGAAAAAGGATTTCCTCTACAGCTTTTGGATTTATTATGGGTTTTACTTTCAATTCTTTCACGTGAAGGCTATGGAACATTTATAATTGTATCTAGCCTGTGTGATATTACATGGGTGCTGAAGTCAAATATCTCCTGCTATGATCCTATGCAGCTGTTGTACCACCATTTCACTCACAATATTAGTTATTGGCCCTCCTCTAATTCATTGACCTCTGACCTTAAAGAGATCGAGTCTTTAGATAGAGGAGAAGCTCTGGTTGAGGATTATAGTGGTTTTTCTAGATCCCATGCATCTCAACAGAACTCCAGATCTGCTGTGCTCATATTGCTTTGCTGTATTGTAGAACTTTTAGCTCAAGTGCTTATAACTCCCTGTTCTCATTCTCACAGTTAAGTGCATTTGCTCAACCAAGTTCCCAAGAAGTCTTGTCATTTCAATAGTATTCTCATACCTTTTTTCAATAGAAAAGTAGTTCACTGATGGAAAGTGAGATGAATTAGTCTAAATNCCACACACAATAAAATATTCGTGGGCCCCCCTCCATGTGAGGGGGGTGTAATCCATTTGGTAAAGCATTGTGTGTACATCTAGCATATCCCAAGTGAGATACAATGGTGAAGGACAAGACGTTCTCAATTACAGGAGAAAGAGTAGATAACTCAAGGGTGAAATTTAAACACCCAGTTACCTCCTTTTTGAACCTGAAAGTATTGACTTTCCCTGGCAAGAAGATGACAAGACTATGCTCTCCTAGGGACAATTTGACATCAGGAACAGTTCTGGATTTTCAAATGTTTTTTCATATCCAAATTGACTAACTGATGACATCATTGTGCAACTCACAAGACTTTACTTTCCCTGCTAAAATTGAAACCTCAAAATTATTGGACGAATTCTTTTAAAGAAACAGGAAAAATTTCCACGCACTCTTTAGCTTTTAATAATTGTGACATGTAATCAAAGCATTATGGCATATATTGTTGGTTGCAGTATTCTGGATTGGCCAAGGAGGTTCAGAGTGGACGTGGAAAAATACCAGTGGCTGATTACAAGGTTGCTGAGTATGTTGATGGGAAAGATGTGGGTACACCTTTGAATTCAGAGTCAATTGGTCGTAGTTGTTACTCGTTCTGCATGTGTCCTGGTGGACAGGTGCACCTTCTCTTCTTTTGCCCATAATACATCTTGAGGGATTATATGCTCAATTCTGGCCGATCACTCAAATTCTGGCCTTTTCAGTCCATAAAATATTGGTTTTTCTTATCGATGCATTGGAAGTACGTGATTTATCAATGTGAGGCCATTTGATGATTCTGTTGAAACTCTTGTTATGCATATTTCTTAAAGCTAAATAGCAAAAGTGGCAGTGATATTCATGAGCTCTTGTGCATGGAAGGCGTCTTGCAATTTTGCTGATGCTTGATTGACTGCCAAAATGCATTAAGATTATAAAGTTTTTGTAGGTGGTTCTTACCAGTACAAACCCATCAGAGCTTTGTATCAATGGCATGTCATTTTCTCGGCGTTCATCACGATGGGCAAATGCTGCAATTGTTGTTACTGTCTCGTCAAAGGATTTTGAGGCTTTAAATTTCCATGGGCCTCTTGCAGGTCTTGAATTTCAGGTATTCTCGTGTCTGCTTGTATTTGTTTCTTTTAATTTTGATCAATTCATCCCATTTTTATCCCTAAACTGTAAGAAGGTGATGAATTTACGTCTTATTTTGTGGACAATTCTCAATTTGAATGAATGTCAAAAGGCAATACTAGAGTTTTGAGTCTAAGGTAGTGTTATATTAAAGGTTTAGGGTCGGCATTGTGGTAGTTTTCTTTCTTCCAAATGAGATGATGATATCCATTCATTTTACAACCGACTTAACTCAAATCTTAATTTGAACATACTACTTTAGAGAGCATATGAACGAAGAGCGGCAACATTGGGAGGTGGCAATTTTGTCGTACCTGTGCAAACAGTAACTGATTTTTTGGACAGCAAAATGTCAGGTAAAAAACATCAATATTCGTTTTGCCCCTTTTCCCTAGCAGCAATTTGAATATATCCTAATACATGTTCCTTTTCCTTTATAGAAACAACAATACCTGCATCAAGCTACCGCTTGGGTGTCAAGGCTGCAAATCTCCACGATTTATTTCCTGCTCATATTACGGAGGCACTGCAACATTCAGTTCTAATGTTCGACAAAGAGGTTGGTTCTCCATACTTTTCCATTTTGTCCATCCATGTAAGAAAAAATGCACAACGGAAGAATTATATCTTGTCCTAAACTTGGAACTTACAGTTACCCGGATTTGTCTCCAAGAATGGCCTTCTTCACGGCGTAGAGGTACTTCTCGGATTCCCTTATTTTACTAACAAATTCTATACCTTATATGGCTGGTCTGATCCTGTAAATTTATGTGTTCATTTCGTGAATGAAAACATTGCTACAGACGAGAACGAGTTCTCCTGTTCAGATCACTCGAAGGAGTGATACGTGGGAGAGCACATCTTTAAAGGGGCTCTACCCTGTCGGAGAAGGAGCAGGATATGCTGGTGGAATCACAAGCGCAGCTGTCGATGGCATGTATGCGGGTTTCGCCTTAGCGCAAAATCTAGGTCTGTACAACGGCAGCATGGATTCGATTTTAGGCAAGGCACAAACTGCTGGATTCTTCAAATATTGAAGCCATCCATAACATGTAATCTGTCACCAACATTGGAAGATTTGTATTAAAGTCAGGTGTTTCTACTTGGGCTGGTCTACGAAAACTCCTTGACCCATAGGTTGACATGCAAAATGGTGGACGTGTAACTTGAAAAGTAATGGAAAAATATAAATTTGAAAAATACTGTAATGTCAAAAAATCACATTCTTTGTTACCTTTCCATTAAAAAGTTATATACTGTGTTCATATTATAAAAATGATGTTCCCATACACAGTAAACAATAATTTTCTTAGGCCCCGCTTGATAGCACACGTTTTCATGGAAAATGAAATTTTTTTTTTCCATTTTTCAACTTTTGTAGTGTTTGATAGAGAAAATTTTCCTGTGAAAATATTTACGAACTTTTCAAATTTTCCATATTTTTGAGGAAAATAAATTCTTGATATTTTGGTGGGTAAATATTTTTCAGTTTTTTTTTGTAAGTGGAAAAAATTCTAAACACAATGGTAAATTTTTTTTTCACTTTTATTGACAATTTTCATGCAAAACAAAGTCAAACGAATAGTATTCGGTATTTTTGCAATTGGAACAAACTCTAGTGTAAATAGTAGAAAATATTATTACTTTAATTGACAATTTTCATTAAAAAAAAAAGTCAAATGGACACCAAATTTTCAACATTTTCCATGAAAAATTATACCAATCAAACACAAATAATTACAATTCCCAATAAAATAATTTCTAGAAAAATCAATTCCCTGTAAAACATTTTCTTTCCATCCATTTTTCACATTTGCAATCAAATGGACGCTTAGTGTAATATTTGGTATTTACCGTGAACAATAATTTTTTTTTATTATATTGCTTGGTTAATGTTTATAAATATTTAAGCAACTTTTTTATTTACAAATTCCGAGGTACATTTCGCTAAGAAGGATAAGAGTAAGTATTACGATTTAATTTAGAAATGATATATACATAAAGCTAAATCTTTAAATTTTATAATTTAGAGACTCATGCCATTAAATCATTTGTTTGACCAACCATATGAAATAGATCATTTTTATGCTTACTTAACACACTCATAAATACAATTTTATTGTGCGCTTTTTCCACCGTATCTTAGATTCAATCTATTATTAATGAAAGAAGATGATCGCACATCTATGTTGTCGATTATAGAAGAATTTACGTTGATGCTACTAAAATCTCTTGTAATGTAAAATATTTTTCAAATTTGACGAGTTAGAACTTAAAAGAAACTATTTTCTAGCTTTCATCATTTCGTTTTGAGTGTTACACGCAAGATTATCTCAACTTTTGTTCGCACTAATACCACGTTGAATCATTTTGCCTAAAAAAAATTCAACTTTTAAAGAAAAATAACAAATTAATTATCTATTTAAAACGTCTTTTACAGCTATCTCATAATTATATCTCCCTGACGATAAATTTGGATTTCAATTTTTTGATTAAATATTTGTTTTTTGAGTTTTTAGAATAGCTATGCCACTCACATTTCAGATCAAAATCAAGCCAAAATATTGGAAGGGTCAATTGGTCCACAAGTTGAAGAGAGAGTAACATGGTATGCCAAGCATCTTCATCATAACATGGACTCCAATCAATAAAATATACATATCTTGCCAATTTTGATCAATTATTTCATTCAAATTTAGAAAATCTTAATTGTGTGCTGTTGTGAGATTGATTGTACACAAAAAAAAAAGGCAAATTTTGGGCCGCTTTTCACAATTTTGCAATCAAATGGTCTCGACAAATATATGTAACATCTCTTATTTTAAAAGATAGATGTATAGTATCAAACGATGTTAGAGAATTTTTTTTAATAGATTGTTCGCCATAGTTAAAAGTTTAAAACCTATGTCTACAGTTTAGCATATACACTGATAATTATTATTTTTTTTGTTTTTTATTTTTAAGTATAGACATTACTTTCAGGTATAGAAAGTATATTCTTTTTTCCATGAATCGATTATATAATATAGGTGAATTCTATGGAAAATTGTGAAAATGGAGTAAGTTTGTGAGTTGAATGGGTTCTGACAAGTGCATGAATCATATGACTCAACACGAACTAACTGAGTTATTCCGTATAGTACAAGAAATTTCCTTAAACTTATCCAAATAACTCACTAACGAAAATTATCATTTGTTTAATTTAAAGACCCAAAATTCCATAGTGTTATATTTCATTCTATAAATCATGGCTTTAACCATAAGTAGCTTTTAATTGAGCTTTCACAAGTAGCTTCTTATTTGTAGTTTAAACTTTAAACTTCTCACTTTTTACCTTCAGTGTCACTTCCAAAACACTTTGCTTTTTCTCGATTTTCACTCCTTCAATGTTAATGTAGCTCAAGCTCGGGTTTCAGCCCCAAAACAATGAACACGACAAACAAGAAATTGTACAGGACTCCATTCAATGAATTGACAGCTAAATGACATAAAAATTTGGAGACATGCTAGACGGACAAGGCTGGGACCGACCAAAAAAAAAGGAGGCCGAGGTTGCAGCACCTCGACCCTTGATTTAAATAGTTGCAATTCAGATCGGGGTCAAGATGAAGTCACCTCGACCCCCTGTTTTTTGGTAGGTCCCCAGCCCCGTCCCTTTACCATTTCTCAAAAATTTGGGAATGAAACAACTATATCATTAGCAAATGCTAATTATGAATCCCCATGCACTTGTTATAAGTAATAATTAAGAATATTGGTATTAATAATTATTAGATATTAGTAAATGTTTCTTTAACTGCTTAACTTTTTCTATAATTGAGAGATTTCTTTAATTTTCAAAACTTCTCGCTATTAGAAACTCATCAACACGATGAATTATTGACAAATTATTCTATCGTTGATCTTAACAACGAGTATACATGAAATAGTTCTTGTCGCAAATTTGAGATTAGCACTAAAAATGCGTCTCGGATACTTTTTAAAGACGAATTTATCGACCCATCCCCGGGACATGCAGGGACAAAAGACTTGCGCCATTGCCGGCTTATGCTACTTGAATGCAGGGACTCTGGGAAATTCAACATTCATTGTACCATACACAAGAAATGGGACACAAGGGTCCTTTGTGAATTATGTTTTTGGCAGTTTACATGTCAGTAGTTTTTGGAAAACATTTGTATTTTCATCCCTTTGTTGTTCCTTTGTCTGTGGGACACACTGTATAAGGAAAGAAATGCACCTTTTTGGGTTGACATTGACCAAATATATTGGAGAAAATAGATTATTGTATACTTATGATATTGTAATTCATAAATATGTTTAGGGTTATGACTTTTATTGAGTTGACATTTTAGATAATATTGATGAAAAAACTATATACAATGCTTACTCCCAATTGACAATCTTTAAACTTAAAAGTTTTTCATTTTTTTTTAAACAGTTAAGGACTTGGGACGACGAGAAATGGAAGCTCGGGAACAAACTTGCTAAGAATATAAATCAAGAATTACAATAAATAAAAAGTTGAAGACGGCATTTACAATTCTCTTCATCAACTAGCCCCCATGTACACAATATGAACCGTCTATAATCAACACTTTGATAACAATGGAGCATATTAATCATCAATCATTTGTCGTTGTTAGTCCTAAAATATGAAAATTATCCAGATTTTCGTTAAATTTTACTTTTTATGCATATACTTCTAGTAATAAATTCTCAAAACCTATAAGTTTACTTTCATGAAATTAATTTTGTAAATAGTGAATTGTCCTGCAAAAAATATAGTAGGATCCTCTCCTTGGTATAGGTGCATATGGTACACCGTATAATAGACAATAACTTATTCACAATCAATCGTATTCCCGTTTCCTACGACAGATAAAGAGAAAGGTGTAGGCCACCGACAGTTGTCCTTCCATAACCCCACACGAATAGGGCGCATCATCATTCAATTTTCGTTAAATAGTGACCCGATTGATGGTCCGAGTTAATAGATTGGCATTTATATCTAAAATCAAAGTTTTTTTGTTTTTGTTTTTGTTTTTTGGGGCAAAGATAAAATGATGATTATTATTGCTTTGAATAATCATTTTCAAAATCAGATCCCACCCTACTCTAGAAAAGAAAGACAGAAACATGTATGCGAAATAGCAGATGAATGTGAACTTTTCTAAATACTTGTGAAGAAACCTACTGTAGTTGACACTATAAAACCCACTTGTGAAGAAACTCAATATAATTCTGAACTTCCATTGCAGATGAAATCAAAAAAAACTGATACACCAAGAAAAGAAATCAAACTCAACGCGACAAATTCACGTTCGTGCAATCAAAATTAGACTTTGAGAAACTCATACAATCATTTTAAGAAGATAGTCGTAAAATCAAGAAAAGAAAATCAGAGTGCCCAAATTCAAACAAGATATCACAAGAACGCCACTAAAACCTATAAATGTCTTAATGCGTTAGGAAAAAAATCAAACGACAAAACACGATAAAAAGGTAATCCTTAATTTTTCAAATTCATCTTCATATATTGCTATATCTGTATATATTTGCTTTAATGACGTCTCTTCCATTGTTTACTAGTTTTTCTATTTTGTGGATTAAAGTTCTGAGTAATGGAATGCTTCAAACATATTCATGTAATTTTCTCTGATCTTTTAGGGTTCTGCGTAAACACAAATTCTAAAAGAATATATAAAAAATAGGATAATTTAATGAAAATAAAAATTTGTGCATGAATTTAGATTTATATATTTTTATGTTATTTAATTTATATTTATTTAAGTAAATTTACACATAATTTAAAATATACAAAAATTTTATTTTTAGAAGTCGATGTATATATAAAAAATGTATATAGAAATAGAAGTTCCACGAAAAATGAAAGAACATAGAACTAAGATTTAAGCCACCCAATTTGTCATTTATGAATTGAACTTTTGTATTTTAATAATTACATTTCAATTTGTCTCCAACAATGATAATTTGATCCCGCTTAGAGTCTGTTTGGTTCAATTGTTACTAACTT